TCTGTATGCATCCGAAGAATGGGCTGTAGTCCACGAAAGCTTATGCTCTAATAAATTTGTTAGTCTCTAAGGTGCCACAAGTACTCTTGTTCTTTTTGCGGATACAGACTAACACGGCTGCTACTCTGAACACTTTAAATAGCTTTTCTATACATGCAAAATATTTGCAAGCACTGCTGTTCTGTTTTAGAAAATATATTTGGGAAAATGTCAAGAATTTCAAATAAGAATTGATTTAACCCTGCCACTTCCTAAATTCCAAAGTAATTCCGGAGTTCTGCAATTCCAGACATACAGATTAAGAGGCTCAGATTATCCACTCCACTTTGTGTTGCGCCTCCAGTGCAAAGTAATCTGAAAATCAGCACGGTCAGTGACTGAAGGAGCAGCCAAATGACATTGAACCTGCATAGAAATATAAAGGGTTGGGAAATGGGTGTGACCAAGATTTCCCTGCAGCATTGACCCCCCAGAGCCATTGGCAACTGCCATAATTTAGAGCAGCCTTCTGCTGACCGGACCAGTACACAGTGTTGGAAACCCGGACATGGGCAGTTCTGCCTGGTTGTCAGAGCAGGACTCAGGCTTAATGATAGGAGCAGACATCCAGAGCAGGGAAACAGAAGCAAGGGTCAGCATCAAAGTCAGAAACCAGAGGCCAAAGCCAACGGTCAAGGTAGAGTCAGAGCCAGAAATCCAAGGCAAAGGTCAGAACAGGGTTACTTGGAATCAGGGAAGATAGGAGCAGGGCTGGGAAAAGGCAGGAGCAGAGACTAATGCATCCACAGTCAAATGCTTTGAGCAACCAGTGCGGCCTGCTGCTGGTTTTAAGAACATATCTGCTGATCCCCTCCACCAGTTGTGCTGTTTAACCAGTCAGGTGGCTGGGCTCTTAAACTGCCTGGGGGTTAAGCTAGCAGGTAAACAGACTAGCTGCGGTCTGACACCCAGGAACTCAGGGAAGGTAAAAATAGCTTACACTAGCCACCTTTGCACTGACACTATGAACTCTTCAGACATACTGAAGAGTACAGTCATACTATCACACTGGTAGCAGAAATTTTTACAGGTTAGTTTGTTAAACATTTCATTTCTGTAACAAAATATTGAGTAGTTACACACGGGAATAGTCTCCCTCTTCCACATTCTTTAAAATTAGCATAACATTTATGTTCATATTACACAATCAAGAGTTTCCTTTATGGGCACTGCCTACATTAGGTTAAAAGGTGTTGTAAATATACATTACATTAAGCAATACCAAAAAGTTACAGTCTACGCTGTCTGGGGAACTTTACAAGAAATGACTCTTATAGTGTGATTTGATTGCAACATCTATTGACAGATCTTTAGTCAGGTCTGTTGAACCAGTGCATTCTCTAATGATTCTCCCCAGTGGGGATAGTAAGCCAGAAGTATTGCAGCTGGTTCAAACTGTCTCCCTCACTTTGTCCCTTTGTGAGGTACACATTTGCAAATGATTCCAAAATCCCTGCTTTCAACAATAGTACCTGAAAACATGGTTTACAAGGTGTCCCAAAATGCACTGATACAATCACAGTTGTCAGGTAAACCGTGTGTGTACATACCAAAATGGATTGTCAAGAATGATGTTGCCACGTGGACACATCAAATTGCTACAAGGCCAGGGGATATATAAAACATCTCATCACTTTTTGATTTCATAGGTATAGCAGCATTTGTTCACACAAGCTTTTCAGAAACTACTGCAAGGCTGACTGCTAGCCATTGCTTGGGGATTGTCTTCATCGGCAGTTATTTCCCCAACTCTTCTGTTTGCAAGTAGCACAAGTATAACTGGTACTTACTCAGGAGTGCCACCCATCACAAGGCATCTGGGAGACTACACAAGTTGCAACAATAAGTTAGAAAGAATGGAAGCCAGCAGCTTGGGGTGGGGGAAGAAAAAGAGAAAACCGAGCCAATCTGACAAACAGGAGAAAAGGAAATCCAGAAAGGAAAAGGTGATAAAGGAAGGCCAAAATGGGCAATGCTGAACAGAGCTGCAAAGGGAGGCTTCATATCAAGCTTTGAAAACTACAGAAGGACTCTGGTGGACATAAACAGGGAAGGGGGATCATAGGACAGAATGCTGAATTGAGAAGGTGCTGCTCTTAGTCCATTCAAGACAGAACCTTAAAATGGATGGAAAATAAGGACAGCCCAGAGGATCTCAGTTGTCTTGGATAGGAGGAGATGGCTAGATGGTGCCTCAGGCCCCAGTTCAATTATTTATATTGGGTGACCAGTTTTAAGTTTACTTTGTTATTAATCTGGCAAGGTTTACATGTAAGTGCTGGTACCAGTCCTTCCTTAAGACTCTGGAAAGAGGAATGATCAGTTTCAGAACAGTCTTGGTAATATTTTCAAAGTAGTGATCACTTCTTACAGAAATTACAGCAGAACTGGGTCTTTGACCCTCAATTTACCTTGACTCCAAAGTACCCTGTTTTGTGGGTGCAACGTGATTGTGATGCAGGCTCTAATGAGAGAGAAAGTGGATGAATTCTTCAAGATTCTGTCAAGGACATAGAAAATAAGCAAAAGGGAAAGAAAGGATTCTTTCTGTCTTTAAAATAGTATTTTATCAAAATATGGCAGTCCACAGCATTGTGCAAGCAAGAATGCAGATAAAATGAATGTACTGTAAAATCAGTTCTGGACCATATCCAATGTGTCTTTGATCCTGATCATGTGTTCTGTTTGTTTTGGCAGGCAAAACTCTTGCTTGAGCTATTTCTCTTTTAATAATTCCAACTTGTTCTCCCTCTTTCTCCCACCCTGCAACTTTATATTTAGTGATGGAGAGCCAAGAAACCCCACTGAAGCCTTTCCACAACAGTAGGTAGCCTGCAGTTTAATTTAGTCTATTCATCTGCATTCCAGAAGCAGTAGGTAACAAAGCGGAATGGGCTTGATTTTCCTCTCAATTGCACCAACACAGAAGCAAGAGTAACTCCACTGAAGTCAACAGTTACCCCAGGGCCGGCGCTTCCACTAGATGACCCTAGGCGGTTGCCTAGGGCGGCAGGATTTGGAGGGCGGCATTTTGCCATCTCGGCAGCAATTTGGTGGCAGGGGTCCTTCCGCTCCGCGTCTTCGGGGCGCTTCGGTGGCAGGTCCTTCACTTGCTCCAGGACCCACCGCCGAAGTGCCCCGAAGACACGGAGTGGAAGGACCCCCACTGCCGAATGCTCTGAGGAGGAGCGCTGCCGCTTAGGGCGGCAAAAACCCTGGCGCCGCTCCTGAGTTACCCTCATGTAGGTGTGAAGAGAATCAAGCCCATAGTATGTTTCCATAGCTGAATAGCTTGTTTTCTGTGTATTGTTCAAAGTGACTGGTTTTGAACCAGCTGTGTGAATAGTTATCTGGATGCAAGAGCACAGCCAGCTAGTTAGCTCATGGATGTGTCTAGCAGTGTTCTACTGATGGACATTCCAAATCTTCTACCACCTCATAGTTCTAAGTCTCTCTAGATACCAAAATAATATAAGAGGACCATAATTCAAACATGTTTGCTCACTTGCTCCCACTAACCTCCTTGTCTTTTGACAAGTAGAGAATATTATATACATATACACCTTTACCCCGATATAACACTGTCCTCGGGAGCCAAAAAATCTTACCGCATTATAGGTGGAACCGCGTTATATTGAACTTGCTTTGATCTGCCGGAGCGCGCAGCCCCGCCCCCCCAGAGCGCTGCTTTACCACGTTATATCCAAATTCGTGTTATATCGGGTAGCGTTATATTGGGGTAGAGGTATATAGAGCTATATGTACACCTTAGGCACTTTTAGGATACCCCTCATTATAATATTACTGAATATTAAGCACAGGTTGCCTTATTGGCATAGCCCCACATTGAGGGAGCCTGCTCACAGTCCAAGCAGCAACTCCCAGAGGAATTGTTATGGGGTGCACAGGGGATTTGGAAATGTGGGTTTAGGTGACTTAGCCAAGATCCCAGAGCAAGTCATTGGTCTAGTTGTAATAGATCTCCTGCCTCTCAGTCCAGTGCTTTAACTAGGCCTCAGACTTCTGGTGGAATCATTTTCTATTCAGTGCGCAGTTCACTGGATTAAATTAGTGCTTGATACTATTAAAACTCTGAACAGTTTGACAACTCTGAAAGTGCAGAGAAAATAACTTGACTTTTAGCTAGCTCTTGTGTATTTATGGGAACAGTCTGAGGCAATGAGATTTGCAGCTTTTTCAGTAGGGTGTTATGATTTAGACAACATTAAGCACACCTGTTAAGACCTATACTTCATATATTTAAAGAACCTCCAGACAGCTTTAGTGTTCTCCTAATAAAAAGCAGATGTGGGAAACAGAATACCTGTGTGTTGTCTTTAGTAGGATTTATCATCTCCAACAATTCGTTTTATCAGCTTGGTCAAACTCAGAGCTCTGGACCTTTTGCTGAGTGTAACTGCCCAGGAAAGAACCTCATTTACTTAAAAGTAAATTGGCCAATAATTGGTTGCAATATGTTTTTAAGCATTTGATCCCTCACATTGTTTTGTTCTCTTCTGTGTGGGTTTTATATGAGAAACAGTGTAATTTATAGCATAATAATCCAGTTTAGTCACATATAAATCTCCCAGTTGTACATGAATTAGAAGACAGATTATATAATATATAAATGAGGAGGGAAGGAACTGTTTTTACAATTGTGCACTAATAAAAAACTGAGCAGATTGTATTTTTATTTGTGACAAAGCCATATATATTTCAAAATAGTAAAATGATTTTTTTTTACATAATTTAAACTAACTGTGGGTATCGCATATATATTTTAGGTTGCTTTTTAAACCGCATTATTCTGTTGTTCTCCAAAATGCATGAAGGTAGTTGATTAAAACACATGGCAAAATACTTAAAGAAAAATACATTCAATATGACAGTACCATTCAATATACATGTCATATAAAATTACTAAGTCTCTATATCAAGTTGCTGATAGAGAATTTAGTGTAAGTGCATTTGGTCAGACAGTTTGTCTAACTTGCATATCCATGGATAGCTTTTTCCCTTTGATAAAATTATTCTGGCCTCAGACATTCCATCTCAAACCAAGCATCTCATTACAAGGAGCAGACAGGGATTACTTCTGCTTGTGAGCATATGCAGGAATCTGTCCAGGAACTGATGAGGCAGGATTTACTTCTAGGGAAAGGGCATTTTGTCTGACTCCGTAGGGCAGGGATTGGCAAGCTTTGGCATGCTACCCATCAGGGTAAGCACCCTGGCAGGCCGGGCCGGTCTGTTTACCTGCCGCGTCCACAGGTTCGACCGATCGTGGCTCCCACTGGCCACGGTTCGCCGCTCCAGGCCAGTGGGGGCTGCAGGAAGCAGCGGCCAGCGCATCCCTCAGCCCGCGCCGCTTCCATGGCAGGCCGCGTGCCAAAGGTTGCCGATCCCTGCCGTAGGGCCTGGAGAGAGGAAAGACTGCCAACCAAGACAGGTGAATTCCTCAACAAAAATGTGTACTTGTTTACTCAGAAAAGACTGAGCCCAATTGTGCCCTGCCACTACACAGATGTGCAAGGAAGTATCCTCCACACAGAGGCCAGGCATAACCAAAACCTCTGCTCTTCCTGGACCTGCAGACTGTTCTCTTCCAGAGCTACACTGGATGAAATAACAGCTATAACCATTCAGGAGACGCAGGCAGAGTGAAGGTGTTGATTTGCAAGGAAGGGCACAGTCCTCACATATAGGTGGGGTGCGGGGTGAAATGTATGTAGGTCGATATGAATGAGAGGACAATGGATGTAATGGTAACAGCTGAACCAATCTGACTGAGAGCACGAGTTAAACACTGGACTCCTTGTGAAGCTAATAGAGATCAGCAGCTGAGAGTCAACACAGGAGCAACACAATGGACTAAATTACTGGCCGGTCAGTGAGAGTGCTTAGTTCCAAGGTGTCATGAGTTTCTCCCTATGCTGTTAGGTAACTATAAACAACCCTTTTTAAATGTGAAGGGGTAGATTTGGTTCACAAAGGTGAATCTAGAAAGCAGGTTTGATATGACATTTTTATCATGTCTCCTCTATGACTTTCTGTAAATTTACCCTGACAAACCTCAGGCCATGTCTACACTACAAAATTATGTCTACCTAAGTTATATCGGTGTACAGCCACCACCGTTTTTACAGCACTTGTGCGGTGTGCATGCTACTCTCCTTGTGTCAGCGATGTGCGTCCTCACCAGGACTGCTTGTATTGATGCAGAGTGCAGTATACCATGGTTAGGTATCCCACTGTGCAACTTACCACCATCCTGCACAGGTGTTTTGGGAAGTTTTTGCAATGCCTCATGGGGCTGAAATGAGTCACACGGGAGTGACTGGGGCCATGGGGTCAACTTCCCATAATGAAATGTTCCCCATCCCATAATTTCCTCTGCAGCCCATAATATTTCACATCTCTTTTCAAAATTCCCACAAATCTGCATGTCCCTTCTCACCATCTGACATCTCTGACAGAGCATGAAGCCTGCACAGCTCTGCGCTATTGTCATGAGCATTGCAAGCATAGGGCACCTGATCCAGCTGTATTTACAGAGAATTGGACAAGACGACGATTCCTTGGAGGCTAGATTGCTGTGGGACAGACAGAAAGAATTCAAGGTGGTTGTTGGCATTTGTGGAGCAGGTGGAGATGGTGCAGCACCGCTTCTGGGCCCAAGAAACCAGCACTGACTGGTGGGATTGCATTATCATGTAGGTTTGGGATGACGAGCAGTTGCTGCAGAACTTTCAGATGTGCAAGGCTACATTCCTGGATCTGTGTGCCGAATTTGCCCCAGCCCTCCAGCGCAGGGGCATCAGAATTAAAGCCACACTGACAGTTGAGAAGTGAGTGGTGATTGCACTGTGGAAACTGCCAATGCTAGATTGCTATGTCAGTCAGTCAGGAATCAATTTGGAGTTGGGAAATCGACCGCAGGGGCCATTGTCATGCAAGTGTGTAGGGCTGTTAATTGCTTCCTGCTACGCAGGGCTGTGACTCTGGGAAATGTGCAGGACACAGTGAATGGCTTTGCAACAATGAGCTTCCTGAACTGCAGTGGGGCAAAAGATGGCACGCATATCCTTATTTTAGCACCAGACCACCTTGCCACAGAGTACATCAACAGAAAGGTCTACTTTTCCATAGTAATGCAAGTGCTGCTGGATCACTGGGGTCACTTTACCAATATCAGTGTGGGCTGGTCAGGGAAGATGCATGATGCTTCCATCTTTAAGAACAACAGGACTGTTCAAAAAGCTGCAAGCAGGGACTTTCTTTCCTGATGGCTGATTACCACTGGTAATGTTGAAATGCCAGTGTGATCCTGGGAGTGAACTCCTTACTCCCAAGGCTCATGATGCCATACACTGGCCACCTCAACAGCACCAAAGGGTGCTTCAACTACAGCTCAGCAGGTGCAGAATGGCAGTTGAATGTGCCTTTGGTTGTAGGAAGGGTTGCTGGCATTGTTTACATAGGAGATTGGACCTCGGTGAGAAAAGCATCCCAATGGTAATAGCACCTCTGTGTCCTGCAAAATATCTGTGAAGCAAAGGAGGAAAGTTTCTGCCAGGATGAACAGAGGCGGTGGAGCTCAATTAGAAGAGCTCAGTGCAGAGCTATACAGCTCAGGGAGGCTTTGAGAGAACATTTTAATAGTGAGCCAGAGTAAGGTATGATGCTGTAGTGTGCTCTACCTGGCCTTGCTCTCTTGCAGCCTAGTACGATTCTTGTAGTGACTGCTGTCATGTAGGAATAGAACAGTGTTTGTGAATGATTTTATGGGTTTGTGACAAAATGAAGTACCAGGAAATTGGTGTGTGTCAGACTGCTCAGCGTCAGACAGCGTGTGTTGTGAACTAATAACGATGAATCTTGATTAAAAAAAATAGAATTTTATTCGGTAACATGAACCAGGCAATTTAAAAAAGCCATTTTAAACTTTGATCCCCCAAAAGGGTAAGCATTACATTCTCACTTATCCATGGGACTGATACAGCACGGTGCCAGTCACCGCACCAGCCATGTTGAGTATGGCTCTTTGGGGGTGGGGGCAGGGTTTAAGGTTGGGGAAATAGCTTACAGGCATGAGTATATTGGTATAGGGCAATGGAACTGAATACTGGCACTGTTTTCCACAGGCAGTGGTGATTTTAGCGGCTATCTCACTCCTGATGGTAACAAAGGTAGAGAGAGTGCAGCTGGTGTCCTGATGCCATCTGGACCCATATGCTGCTAGGCTTGTACTGCAATGGTGCTTGCTGAAGTACTTGCTGACTGGCATGGGAAAGTGTCCTATCGCAGTGGAAGAAATATGGCAGCCTTCCCCAGAAACCTTCGGCAGAGGATTGCAGTTTCCATAAAAGTTTTCCATAAAAACTTTCCATAAAAGTTTCATCAAGATCTCTACGGAGGATTCACAAGATGCACATAAACTGCTCCGCATGACCATTTTTGCTGCACTCTAGAGAGGAATTAAAACCAGGTAGCAACTCTATCTCTCTTGGTTGTTTCACTACCTCTTCTAGCACAGATAAACAAGAGTAAATCAACAGAGGTGTCCTGCTACTTTGGAGGTTCCATACCCTGGAATTTCAAAGCAAACTACCTACTCACCAGAGGTTCCTTCCCCAACATCATGTTCACCTTTGTTCAACAAATCGGGATTGTCTGGACTGCAGAGGAGTAAAAAACATAGAACCACAGGGTTAGAGGGACTGCAAGGATCATCTAGAGTAACCCCCAACCAAGATGCAGGATTTGTTGTGTCTAAACCATCCAGGACAGATGGCTATGTAGCCTCCTGTTGAAAACCTCCAGTGAAGAAGCTTCCACAACCTCCCGAGGCATCTGTTCCATCGTCCTACTGTTCTTACGTGTCCTGGCTCACTGTGCAACTGGATCCCCCGGTCGCCCATCCCCCACACTCCTCCTTCCTTGTCCTCCTCCCCCCTCCCTGTTCACAGTGGGGGTCTGTGACTTGGGCTCCTCCGAAGTATCCAGGGTGCTCTGGGGGGCGGGGGGTGTCCACCAAGGATGGCTGGCATGCAGCTTTTTGTAAAAGCAGCAGGTCTCCAACTCCACACCAGATTGATTGTTGACCTCTCTTCCCTTCTGGTATGCCTGCCACAGCTCCTTGGCTTTCACGAAGCACTGTTGTGTGTTCCTGTTGTAGCCCTTCTCCTGCATCCACTGAGCAATCTGCTTGTAGATGTCCACATTTCTACGGCTGGATCAGAGCTGTTCCTGCACAGCCTCTTCTCCCCACCAGCCCAGGAGATCCATATACCTCTTGTGTATCTGCAGCGTGTCGCTGGCATGGTCAGCTAGGCAGTTACACACATCAATGGAGAGCTGCTAGGTGTGCTCACCTCACCAGGCACCCAGGAAAAGGAATTTCAAAAATTCATGGGGCTTTAAAGGGGAATGGCAGCTGACCCCTGGGCAGAGGAGTTCACAATGATGACCAGAGCGATCAGTATGGGGCATTATGGGACAGCTACTGGAGACCAGTAATAGTCAACATAAGTAATGCAGCGCTCACACTGACACTGTGTTGACCTAACTACATCGACCCTGAGTCTACGCTGCCCGCAGAGGTGGTGTTAAGTCAGTGTAGCGGGGCAGTTACATCAGCAGGAGTGTCTGTTCTCTGGTGTCTGTGCCTTGTCATGGTGGGACAGTTTGCGTGCTCTAACGATTCCCAGAGTCTGTGTCGGCGGGGGCTTTTTGCTTCTGATAGGTTCAACCATGCTGGATTGGTCTGTAGGGAAGGGGCCAGGCAAAACAGACACCCTGGTCCTCCAGGTTGGGGGTTAGGCACATAGCTAACAACCCTGTCCCGTAAAAAACAAAATATGTTACGGAAACAGCGACAGAGAAATTAACCATTACTGTGTGTGATGGCCTTCAGGAGTCAATGACCCGTATGACTGCCAGTAGTGGAAGCCACTGGCATGAAGACTGAAGTGCTCAACACCAAGTCAAAAACCAAACTTGGTTTTTGGAACGTATGGACAATGTACGAAGCAGGGAAGCTAGCTCAGGTCACAGCAGAGATGAGACGTCACAACTTACACATCCTGGGTGTCAGCAAGAGCAGATGGGTGGGATCAGGAAGATTAACAACAGCCTCGGGAGAAACTTTGCTGTTTTCTGGACGGGATGATGGACAACACCATGAGGGTGTTGCCATACTTTTGAAGAAGGGAGTGGAACATTCCCTGCTTGAATGGAAATCCATCAGCAGCAGACTTATGAGAGCCAGACTGAAAGGGAAACACAATAATATCCCCTTGATTCAGTGTTATGCTCCGACAAATTACAGTGATGAAGAAGTAAAGGACAAATTCTATCTTACACTACAGGCAGAGTTAGAGAAGTACCACACCACAGCCTAACTATCGTAATGGGAAACCTGAATGCCAAGGTCGGTAAGGACAACACAAACAATGACAGAGCAATGGGAAGACATGGGTGTGGCACCATGAATGAAAACGGAGAGAGGCTTGTTGATTTCTGTAATATGAATGACCTAATCATCGGCGGAACCGTATTTGAACATTGTGAAATTCACAAACTGACATGGTGTTCTCCAAATGGCAGAGATAAGAACCAGATTGACCATATCATGATCAGTTTCAGAGTAGCAGCCGTGTTAGTCTGTATCCGCAAAAAGAAGAACAGGTGCCACAAGTCCTCCTGTTCTTCT